CTAAATTTAATGCCGGCAGTATGAATTTAATTTTCACAGGGCCTGATTATATATAAAATTAGCTGGTTATTCTTTGGCTATCTTTCAAACAGAGATGAGGGTTTTACAAACCTTTGGGTATAATTTTGGAATCTGTTAGAAAGTAGCCCTTCAAAACTGCATTTCTCTTAGTTAAAAAAAAAAAGCTTGCTTATGGTAGAAGTGGTTTCTGAGAATCTGTTTTTTTTTGTTGTTTTTTTTTTTAAAAAGAGGAGAAAAAAAGCAAATCCAAGTATTTTTTACTTCCTCTTTTTCTGGCATATGATACATTTCAGATATCATTACAGTATTTTTGCCCGCAATTCCAATTTTAAAAATATGACAGTATGCTAAAGTATATTTTTCTGTATTTCTGTGAAATTTACCATTTGAACAGGGATTAATAAGAGTTGTTTTTTATTCAATTGTCTTTTATTTTTTGGAGTCTTCTTCTGCAACCTTAGATGTGGGGCAAAAAGACTTCTACCATTTGAAGCACAAGAGCAGATTTTGCAATCCTGGTTTACACTGAGTAGTAATTATTCAAATAAGCCTATGCTGGATGGTCATATAAGTAACTATTCGCATGTAACACGGTTTGTAGTTTCATGATAAAGCAACAGCAGCTTCAGCAGAAAAAACAGGGTAAGGAGTTCTCCTTTTCTTCTTCCTTCTGCACTGTTTTTGCTCTCTACCCAGAACTACAGCGTGCTGCTATTCAGTTACTGCAGCCATTTGCAGGGACACATTATAAACTTGACTAGCAAATGGATATGAATTGATTAAAAATATATATTCTGGAAAAGTTACATATTTGAGTCAGAATTACAAGGTACCACCTGTATATTTAAAATTGACATTTCATTTAAAAAAAAAAAATGAATTAGTGAATATGACATTGTTTTAATGAATGTACTGCACTAGGTGATGTGTTTGCAATGTTACATACACAGACCCGGAGTTGCTACCAGTTTGGATTGATGGGCTCAGAATCTGAAAAAGATCAGTTGTGCAGCACGCATGAAACCCAACTCAGAAAGCAGACGATGCCCATTTTCTAGAAGAATTCTTTATCTTGTATGGCAGCCCATCAGCTCAGCATTAAGGTTTGCATGGGAGAACCCATATTCCTAGGTAAATGTTACCATCACTAAGGAGGGGTTGAAACTCAGAAAACAGAGCTCCAGCTTGATTTTAGTTGTGTTTTCAACCATGGACAAATGTTTTCTGTTGGTGTTCATTTGATATTGTTATGATAAATGTGTTTTTTTCAGAATGCTTTATTCTTCTGAACCACTCTGTGACTGTGTGATAAAAAGCTTTGTGCCATAAAAGGTGACGATGAGTTAATAGATTTGGATTGAAGAAGCCTTGGTCAGATTGGGATGCACCTTTTCTTTTCTACTCACTAGAACTTCCACTGGGACTTTCATCCTTTTATTCAACAGCTTGAATGTTACATGTGCTTATGGACTGGCTTATGGTGACTAATTGTTTCAATAAACAAGTAAAATCCCAGAGCTGGGAGTGCGATTTAGGAGATAGATAGGTAGTGTTGCAACTGCTGGGGTTACCTCATTGCTTAGTGCCTCAGGCTTCCCTAGTGAAAACCAGGAAGGGTGGCATGCATAAGAGGCTCTGTCTATAAGTAAAAACTTAATTCAGTATTAGTCAAGATATACAATGTAACAGATTTATCTTAATAGTTGTTTTCATTTGTTTTGAGGAAGTTGTGTGGTGACTTTATGGCTGTACTGGTGAATATTTGTATAATGTGAAGATGGATCAGTGCAAGCTGGTGCAGACCTTTTGATACTTAAAGTTGAGAATGTTGGATCCTCTGTCCCTCCCCAAAATCCCTAAGCATCTGTAACTCTTTCTGATTTTAGTCATAATTCTAAATACTCTGCATCTCTGCAAATCAGATCATATTTGTTATCATGTAACTATGGTTGGCAGGGAACAGGGCAAGCCCTGGCAGGAGACACCGTGAAAAATTTAGATGGGTGGCAGCGCGAAACTCCCACAGATGTTTCGAAAAAGATAACCATGTGTCATGTGAACAGCTTCATGTCCTGAGGGATGGTCTGGGAACAGTGGAATATTTGGGGGGAAAAAGTACAGAAAAGTTCTAGAACTATACTAAAGAAAAGGCAGTGATGTATAGGTTTGCCAAGAGGTAAGGATGGCTGTTACAGATGCTTCTCAATGAAGTATTGCAATTTTTGAAAGGAACTTTCAGAATAACAGGTGAGGGTTCAGTTGTCCTGAGCCTTATTTATGGAAACAGAAATGTGGCTAGAGCCAGTGGCTTGGAAAAAAACCCAAACAAAACAGGTTTCTGTGACCAAATGCAGATTGAAAAGCTGATCTTCTGACTGGGAAAACTGGTTCTTATCTGCACAGATCTCCATAGTAGCGATAATTCAGTGTAGCAACCAGGTGCAGACATTGACCAATTACATTCCTGATGTTTTTATTTTTTAACACTGATTTTGTCAAAAGGATTATTTTTGTTTCTTGTATAATGTTAATGTGACCAAAGAGGACTGACAGGGAAATTAAATATTTTAGCATTATCAATATTAAGATTTGAAATCATAGTTAATTTTGCATCCTTATTGTGCTTTCTAGTGTAGCACTATGGGGATCTCCAAGACAAATAATAATGATGTTTTTTCTTAAATGTGAGGAGAGAATTTTTACTATGCAGAGCAAAGGGATTGTTTTCAGTTGGAGAGCCTGCGATAGGAACCCTTATAGTTTTGTGTCCTTTAATTTTGTCTGAAGGTTAATATTGACTTTTAATTCTTCGAACATTGTTTGTATTTTCCATTCATGGTAGTATCCTTCCTTCTACAATTACCTTTAAGATTGCCAATTTTTTTTAGAAGGGGAATAAAATGGAATTTGGCAGCTTGAGTAATTAAAGAATGTATCAAGACAATTATTAATTAAAAAAGATCCATCTTCTTCCAAAGAATGCAATGTGACAGATGACCAACAAAATGTATGCATGTATATTCATCACAGGAAGAGGAAAAACAAAAAGAGATTATTCATAATAATCACTGTTTCTAATCCCGTGATAATCTTTTATTTATGCATCCTAACCTGGTCTTATTTTGTAGTTCCATGTAAACTACAGGCTAATTTTTTAGCATATGCAGAGATATACCTTGAAAAGAAAAGGATGTTTTAAAGCAGTGAATGACTACATCCAGCTGTGTGAAATGGCAGAAGTGTGAGATACGAGAGCTTAGTTGGCCAAAACAGAGGGTGAAATGCAATATCAGACTAAACTGGAAGGCAAAGGGTGTCATTTCAGGTACTGTCACAACAAATAATGACCTTTTTGGGCACAAAGCAAAAGGAAAGGTACTAAAGTGAATTTCTTTACATTTAATTTTATTTAAACTTTACTTCTGTAAGGTAATGTTGTGAGGAGGGCTGTGGCTCTGAGCTTCTCTGTGCAACGCTGTGGAATGCACTGTTTTGTCCATGCTGAAGTTATGTTGCCTGCAGAGAAAAATCTATTTACATTTCCCCAGTGAATTTTAAAATAATCTAAGTAGTAAACAGGTACATAAATTTAGCCCTGTGAGAAATGAAAAAGTTTGGTTTTTTACAGGTTGGAGAGAAATGTTCTATTGGTATGGAGATCTGCAGTGATTACCTAGGGCTTTGGCTTGGGTTATCCCCCTGCCCCTTCCACCCATGCACACACTTGAGAAGATATTTGTAGTCACTGGTGCTTCAGCAGATGCTGGTGTTCCTTCTTCAATCCATGGCTTCAGCCCACAGCCCAGCTGCTCCAGCCCTGGCTGCGGTCGAGGTCTGTGCCTGCAGCGTACCCTGGCTTTGGAGCACGGCTGGAGGCAGGGGCCAGGCAGTGCAGAGGGCAGGGCTGGCAGAGAGCTGGCAAGGGAAAGCTAATGGGGAAAAAGTTTTCTGGAACAGCTACTCCACAGCCTCTCCCACATTCCTGCCTCTGTGCCACCTCGCCTGTTAAATCTGCAGAGGCATCCATCTGTGCTGCATGCTGAAACATCTGGTTGGACCCCTCCCCTAGCTTGCTTCCCAGCCCAGCGGCAGGAAGGCCCGCACCCACACAAGGCAGAGTGGCACATCGGGGCGGCAGCAAGCAGATGAGGGAGGAGGTCAGCTGTGTTCGAGCTGGCATCATTGCAAACAGAGAGATTGCCTGACAATGTCTCTGACGGGATGCTGGAGCCAGATCTGCAAATAAAGTAACTGGGTGCATTTGTTCTCACGTACTCCTGAGTCTGTCCTACAGGGATCAATAATGTTGTAAAACTTCAAAGCAGCTTGACATTACTGAGCAACCAGAACTGTAAGTTACTTAGATTATTGATGGTTAGCATGAAGCCTTTCTAAATAGAAGATGGAGGGCATATACTTAGCACTTTCTGAAAAATAAACTGTACTTCCCTGTTCTCAAATTGACATCTCCTAAATGACAGTTTGTATTTGAAAATTTTCATTAATATAGTTGGGATGAATTTTCAAAGTTACTCTTACTGATTAGTGTTCAATTTCTTATACTGAACTTTTTTGCAAATGGCATTTATATGTGCACAGATCTTAGCAATTAAACTTTGATACACATTAGGACTTTGTGGTGAAGAGTAGTTGTACACTACCATTTGCCTGGAGCATTTCTCAAACTTCTTGCCCAAGTTTTCTGTGACACAGGCTGCAGTGTCCCTTTTTACATCCTGGTCAGGTACAGCTTGGGATCATGCCAGTGCAGCCCTCAGCTGAGCAAAGCCTGAACTTCCTTGTCTAATAATTAACTTCTGTAAACTTCCAGATGCTTAGGATGAACTCCAGCTTTCTGTATGTTCAGGTAGTTTCATTTATAAGTAGAAGCTCTTTTTACTACAGAAATCTCGACCTCTGTGATCCTCCAGAGATATCGTAATGATTTATTCCTCTCATCTTCACAGGAACAGATATTCAATGGCTAGAAACAGAGCTGACAAGCGGCTGAAATGAATACGACTACTATCCTACAAGAGATTTTGATTAAAAGATCACAGCAGAAGAAGAGGACTTCTCCATTAAACTACAAAGAGAGGCTTTTTGTACTTACAAAGTCTATGCTAACATATTACGAAGGTCGAGCGGAGGTAGGAGACACAGATTTTTACCTCTAGAGTGCTGTTGTTCCTTTTTGCTTTTGTGTATTATTGGCTTTTTTCCTACTGTATATCATACTGTCAGGAGCGGATGGGGGCAATGGCCATGGGTGGCAATGAACATGAGCTGCCATTTATCTTTTTTCTTATTTATGATACAGATCGATAGAGGTGTAGATAACTTATCTGGTAGTCCAATGTGAACTGGTTCTTGATTAGAGCAGTCGTACATAGTTAGGATGCCAGAAATAAGATAAAACAGCTTTTACAGCTGGTCATCAAAGTTGATTTCTTTCTCTCTCCAGAGAGATATAAGATTATTGCCTTCAGAAAGTAGGGAAAAGGTAGAAAACCTTACAATCATAGTTGCTTGTGGCCACGTTTACTGTGAAGGCCATTACTTTCACATCTGGGAATTAACTGAATTCAAACAGGAGAACAGAGCATTTGATAGCAGCTGTGCATGTCCCGATCTGATGTCGGGGAAGGTTTCGATATGATCCCAAGAGCGAGATTAAGACACAAATGAGGTCACATGCCACAGTCTCAGAACACCTTTTATTAGAAAAAGAAAAAGTAATAGAGAGAATAGCGACAGGACAGGATGGAGTGAAAGTTGGGAATCAAGGAAGCAGCCGGGATAGGACTGAAAGAATAGTCACCACTACAGGTCCTGTGGCGAGGCAACGGTGAGGGTGGGGCGAGGAGGTCTCAGTTGCTTGTTCCAGTGGTGGTGCAGTGTGGTCAGGCGGTCATCCTCTCTGTCTCTCTCCCTACCCTTGCCAGTGCAGGTCCTCCTTAAATACCCCTTCGAGGGCTGTAGTTTCCATAGCAATGGCATGTCTCTTCATGCCCCCCCAGCACTTGGGGCAGAGGCATGTCCAGGCAGAACACCCCCACGGGCAGGGCGCCTTCACACATCGGGGTTTCCAGAACCCTGGTCTTGTGACCGTCCTTGCTAACAATCTTTGAGACAAGTTCATAGTGCAGTTCCTCACACCTAGTGATTGAAATGAAGCTGGAAGCAGTTTATCTTTGGCAACATGAGAAGCCAAAGTCATCCCTGTTTCAGCTTTCTGTGTAAATTCAGTTATACCAGAAGTCAATAGTGTGAGCTAGGCAAGTCCTCAGACCAGCATTTTTTCAAATGAGCTCCAGACTCAGTTTCGTCAAGATCACCTGCCCCCAGAGTGCCCTGTCATATCTTTATTGCTGGGCGTAAGATTTCCACTTAACTGAGGCTAATTTCCAGATTTGTCACAATGCTGAAGTGGATTAAAATGGCTGCAGTAGCTAGTGGAGCATGTTCTAAACCCTGGGAAGCCATTCAACAAATAAAACTTAATGGAGACAACTCTGCAGCCTCTTGTGTTGGCTGTCTCACCTCTGATGAAAGATGGGGGTACAGGAGATCTAAGGCTTGCTAAGCGTGTTTCTCTACCAGAGCTTGCGCTTGCAGCAGAATTGAGCTCACTTGCCGTGTTCCAAGACCACAGCAGTCTGTTGTAGCTGCTGTTCTCTGAATATAGCGTGGACACACAGAACAAGATCACAGACTGGCTGAGGCTGGAAGGGGACTCTGGAGACAATCATCATTTGCACTTCTTGTTGAAGTTCATGAGGTTCCTGTCAGTCCATTTCTCTACCCTGTCAAGGTCCCTCTGGATGGCAGCATGACCCTCTGGTGTGACAACCACTTCTCCCAGTTTGGTGTTATCGGCAAAGTTCCTGAGGGTGCCCTCGGCTTCATCATCCAGGTTATCAATGACTATGTTGAACAGGACTGAACCCAGTATTGACCCCTGGGGTACACTGCTAGTCACTGACCACCACCCTCTGGGTCTGACTATTGCACCAGTTTCCAGTCCATCTCAGAATATGAATAACTTATTTTAGAATGTTGTGGAGTAGTGTGGTGGGTCTTTTTTTGTGTGGGTTTTTTTTTTTAATTATTATTTTTTAAGAATGCTTCCCCCTGCCAGAGAATAAATAGGTGGGGGCTAAGAAGTCCTCTGAAACATGTCTTGCATGCTTATCTTGTGTCAGCTTACATTCAGGTCAAATAGAAATGTAACTAACAGGTTTTGCAGGTCTAGTTGGCACCTTTTAAGAAGTTGCCACTTCCAGCTTTCCCCTGTGTGTCAATGTCCTCCAGCTAAAATGCCCTTCTAGGAGGCTGGCTGGTGGATCTTGTCTGAGAAGGGGTTTAAACTATCAGTTTTATTTGCAGTGAGATGGAGCGGGGCTGCCCATAGTGCCCTCAGCTGTGCAGGCGGTAACTTCTTAAAACATTCCAGCCTAAGATAAGGACAGTTGGGGTGAAAATATACATTACACCTGTGCTAGCCCAGCAGTTTGCTGTTGAAACAGGCAGGTCCATCTCATCACTGTCCTAGACTTGCAGGCCTCTGCCATCCGCTTGAATTGGTCCTGGCACTTCTTGGAATCCATCTTGCTCTGAAAATACTTGCTAATCAGCAGAAGGATATTTGTTCCTGTTTTACTTTCTCTGGATTAGTGTTGTGCTGGGTTAGCGAGCTGCATGAGCTTGGTGCAGGTTCTAACAGGTGCCAGAGGTGGTGCCAGGTGGTGGAGGAGGACAGGATGCTCCAACTGTTGACATCAGCAGGTTGTTAGACTGGCTGAGCTGTAACTCATAGCTTCCAACCTCAAACTCTTCATTTTCACTGTTCCTCCCACTTCAGATTCTTTTAAACATTAATCAGCGTTTTATTTTATTAACAATATTGTCTGAAAATAATGAGCTCTGATCTCGGAGGGGTACACTGAATATTTTTGTCAGCAATATTTGGTCTTTATTTATTTGAGGGAAAAAAAAATGACGTGTGAGTAAGATCTCTGTGGTACGCTGGTAGTTATTCCTTTGTGTCACTGGGCAACTGAAATGGAAAAAGTTTGGGGGTTTTATCAGTTGTTTGGTTTTTTTTAGCCAGTGATGGTGGCTGTAAATTTGTATTTACAGTCAGACAGTTGTATATTCTGGTTGAAGTAACTTATATAAAAAAAACGAATAATTATTAGAGATTAAAATAATTCTAGCCCCTCTGAATAGTTGGACATTTATTGCTGAAATAAATGTGACTGTTGTGTATGCTGGTTGAATTTAAAGGTATGACAGATGAGAGGATAGGTATGGACTGATCTCATTTCAGGCTTGGCAACATTCAAAGTCCAGATTGGTAAGATAAGCATGGAAAGCCCAAGCCATCTTAGAGGATCCCACACCCTCATTTAAATCACGTAACTGCAGTGGTAGCAGTCTGCCAAGGACATCTGAGTTCTGCTCCTCTAGGCAAGTGTATGATTCCCAGTGTGATCACTAGCCAAACTGCAGTCTTCTTTTTTTTTTTTTTTCTTTTTTTTTTCCCCCCATTTAAACATCTATGGGAATTCAGTAGAGAGGTTTCAAGAAGAGCCCAGGTATGGTGATCACATGAATAGTCATACTACTTTTTAAAAACAAGATTAAATTAAATCTCGTTAACCAGATTAGTCAATACTCAAAAGTGTGGGCAAGTTGGGATTGTAAATAAGGGGACAGAATTAGATACTTGATATGTCTGGTGACAGATGTGGAACATTTATGGCAACAGAAAGCAGTCAACCATAGCAAATGTTGTTCTTGTAAATGCTGCTGAGAGATTTAATTGACCCTCTTCAGTGCAGCTGGTGGTGGGGAATTACTTGGTCTTTGACCAGAAACCACACATTATAGGTTTTTTCTCTATTATTTTCTGTCCTGTGTCTTGACAAAGTGCTGTATAGCTACTTGGAGCAATAAATGATTATCTCATAAGCATGACTACTAGCAACAGGGTAAATCTTGTTTAAACTTGCTTATAACCTGTTTAAATCTTTTCATATGTGTTTTCAAGCAGCTCAGGCACCCTGTCATGGCATAAATTGCCTACAGTGAAGCTGGAGCTGCACTGCTGCCATGAGAAGGAGAAATGTAGCTTCTGCACTTAGAAATATTGCTGCACTAGAGATCATGGAGAAGACACATGAACTATCGATGAAGCATAGCCACAGAATCAGTAAAGAGGCTGAATTTCAAAACTGTTTAAAATCACAGAAACCTGAGGAAGGAGAGTCCTGGTTTAGATCAACTGTGCAAAGCTCTACAATTATGAGTGATGTCATGGGAAATTTTGTGCAGGAAGCCAATAGGACCTTGGCTTTTATGGCTTAACTTCTGTTGGGTTGTTTGGTAAAAAAAAAAAAAAAAAAAAAGGGAGATGTATCACTTTAAGGTTGATTACAAAGATGGACATCAAAAAGCTTGAAAATAAAGATACATCTGACTTGCCTTAAGCATAATGGAGATGAATTTTTAATGTCAGAAAAGAGGAATATTCTATTTAAGCTGGAGATGGCTTCTGGTTTTGATGCTTTTTTTGTCATGAATTCTGTGAATTAGTAAATGTTAGGGAGATGCCATTATTGCACTATTGTGCAATGTTGGGCTAACAATAGTTGCAAGCATATAAAAGGCTGAGTTAATGTTTTAAGTTTCTTGAAGCCTTTAACGGTTTATCAGCTGTCATTGTTGAAAAGAGTATTTTCTGTCTTTTTTTTCCTTAATGTTGCAAAAGTGGCTAACGAGATCTGAATGTGATGGATTCCATTTGTAATGAAGGCAAAAATTCATCATAGTAAGAAGTAACTGAATCAGCCTCCAAACGCAGAGTACTGATCACGAATGTATAAAAATAGGGAAGGAGTAAAATTATTTACTATTCTGAGTATGGAGATGTACTATAAAACTGAATATGCTACAGTCAGAAAGAATTAAGGTATGTACAGTGTTTGCAAATATGCATTGTAGACTTACTGAGCCAGCTTTAAACAGATTTGCATAGGCAGTAGTAACTATGTCAGTTTGAAAGTGGGAGGTAGTAGGCAAGTACTCTTGTTTTATTCTCATTCTCCTTGTGTGGAGAATAAGTTTTAGTGTTGTGAATTCTTTC